TTTATTGTCTTTATTCTAATTTATTGTCTTTATTCTAATTTACTGTCTTTATTCTAATTTATTAAAACTCACGATAATTTATCAAAAGTCTTTATTTTATACTAATTTATTTTACACTTAATAATTACAAATAATTTATTTGCGTTGGAACAATTTTAAACCGATATCGCGAGCTTCTTGTGACTGCCTGCTCAATGAAATTCTTCCGTTATTTATATGAAACCAGTTGGTAAACAGAATGTTGTAGAAAATACGATGCCGTTCTCGACGTAGACACAGCGGCAATGATCTCAAAACTGGTATGTTTTTTTCATCGGCTTGTCCCCAGAAAGTTCGATTGTTGTTCATTTTTAGCGAAGGGACCCAAAGGGTGTCAGGTAGATTTTTGACCTAGAAATTACGAGAATCAATAAAAAGAATTAGTCATAAAATATTTACAGTTCTATACGCCATAACATTTAAAATCGTAACAATATATTATGTAAAACATTAAAATTAGTATGCAAGAGAACTAGAAAGATAGTAAGATGCACTTCCATCAATATATTATTAATATAAGGTTGAATGTTCGAATAATTAAACTTTGACGGTATACAAGGCAACTATCGAACACGGTGATTAATTTAATTTTGCCCAAGTACTTTCGATCAATAGATCATCTTCAGGGGCATTTCGTCAGTTGTGGCCTATCCGACATTCTACTCATGTCGGATAGGCCACAACTGACGAAATGCCCCTGAAGATGATCTATTGATCGAAAGTACTTGGGCAAGATTAAATTAATCACCGTGTTCGATAGTTGCCTTGTATACCGTCAAAGTTTAATATATTATTAGTTAAATTTAATTTTAACCTTAGGTAACATTAATGATAAATTAAGATTGAAATATAATATTTAAAAGTAAAATGAAGTTACCAGTCTTCAGCTTATAAGATGCTCTAGGTAAATGACAAGCAACAGGTTTAACACCCACGCAAACAACGTTTGCAATCAATTGTTTTTCGCCATATTCTGTCCATTTTCATGTTTCTGCATCATTGAATGCGATACTTTTGACGATTGTATTGTAGATATTTAATGTCTTAATTTTACTGATATCTTTGTGCCACCCTCGGTTTATTTTTTCTTTAATTTTTTGCTTGTCGGTTCTTTTTTCACTAATTTTTGCTCCAAAATACTTGAAAGTTTGACATCTCCTTCTCTTGTTTTTGCCTAAAATTAGTTCTGTTGTCTCTTCACTTATACAAGGTATTTTGTTTTACTCAAATTTATTGTTAGTTCTCCCTTTTGATATATATATATATATATATATATATATATATATATATATATATATATATATATATATATATTTGGTAAGTATTGCTGTATTATTATATTTCCTTGATAGTTTTAATTATTCGAATGCAGATATGTATGTATCTTTTTTATTGTTTTTCATAGTTTGATTATCGATAGAGATAGTGCAAACACTCCTGACCACGGTGCAGTAGACGAAATTTGGTTTAGTCCCCACTTCCATGCGAAACGCATTGTACTATGCACTGTATAATTCTACTTACAATAGAACCTTTCTGTCTTTACGTGACTTTGACTCCGCCTTCGCGCAGCTCCATGGTCAGGAGTGTTGGAACTATCTTTACGTTACCATAGGCTTTTGATAAATCCATAAAAAATCAATGAAGGCATTTTCCTGTATTTAACTTCTTCTCTATTATTTGCTTCTACGTACACACATGTACCACACACGAACGTACTGTTCTGAACCGACATTATTAGTATTATGCGTCTGCAATGAATTATTTTAATACTTTTTCGTACAGCCTGCTGATCTTTGGTGTTGGTGCTGTAATACCGCAAGAGTTGTCGAATATGGTTTTATTTCCTTATTTGTGTATTGGTGTTTTTTTAACTAACCTGTTTTTCATTCGTTCATTATTTTGTTAAAGATAACTTCTAATTATTTTTTTAATAAATGCATGTTTTAATTAATGACAATTAATTTTTATATAAAATGCTATGTCGAATAAATTGAAGATGGCTGTATATAAATAAATCCGCAATATATGTTAAATATCAAAATAATCGTATAATAAGCAACAAACTAGGGAACTTCAAATTTAATTAAATATTGCAGTGATTTTACGTCTAATGGCAGCACCACACTTCGCTAGAGGCGCTGGTGGCAAGACGAAGTGTGGAAGGTACATTCGTACATTATTTTGTTTATTCGCAGACATAAGCAAATACTTGAATAATTAATTCGCCTATCCGACCACTTTTCGGTTTTTTGACACACTTCAAAGGACACGAATAAGCCGAATGTATGTGTCGACTGTCGACACTTCGCTCGCACCGGTAGTTGTCTCGCTGTTTATCTTAATCTAACTTCTGTAATTCTCGTTATTCTTGAACCATTAATTCCACAAAATTGTGTGTTTATATAAAACTATTACGCTTTGATTTGAGGTGTCATCATCATCATCATCACTGGCTCGACAACCCTTTTTGGGTCTTGGCCTGTTCAAGGATTCTTCTCCATTCTGACCTGTTTCGTGTTTTTTTTCCAGTTTTTAATTTTTAATGTTGTTATATCATTTTCTATTTGTTCTACGTATCTCAGCTTCGGTCTTCCTCTTGTTCTTTTTCCTACTGGCACTTGTTTGAATATTTTGTTTGGTATTTCGCCTTCTTCCATTCTTTCCACATGTCCAATCCAACGTAGCCTTCCTATTTTAATGAATGTTATGATATCCGGATCCTGGTATATGTTGTATAGTTCAAAGTTATACCTTCTCCGCCAAATCCCGTTTTCTTTTGTGCCCTTATATATGTGTCGCAAGATTTTTCTTTCAAAGGTGGCTAACAACGTTTCCTCCCTTTTAGAGAGTGTCCAGGTTTCTGAACCGTATGTGAGTACCGGTCTTATTAAGGTTTTGTATATTTGGCATTTTGTTTTTCTGGAGACGTTATCTGATCTTAGTTGCCTAATTAAGCCATGGTAACATTTATTGGCAATAAATATTCTCCTCTTCACTTTCTCTGCAACGTTGTTATCAGACGTAACTAGGGATCCTAAGTATGTAAAGTTTTTTACCGCCTCAATGTTGTATTCTCCTATTGTTAAATTTGGCAGCTGCCTTATTTGTGCGTTTTTATTTGCAGGCATATATTTTGTTTTTGTCTGATTGATTTTAAGACCACTATTTTTTGCAGCTCGTTCTATTTGAGTGAATGCCTCTATCATTTCTCTTCTTGATATTGCGATTATGTCAACATCATCTGCAAATGCTAGTATTTGCACGCTTTTATTAATTATTGTTCCTCGGGTATTAACTGTTGTGTCTCTTATTATTTTTTCAAGTGTGATGTTGTTAAATAATATGCATGATAGAGCGTCTCCCTGGCGTAGTCCCTTCTTCACATCTATTGTTTCCGTTAATTCGTTTTGTATCCGGATTTTACTTTCTACTTTTAGTGTTTCTTTTATCAATTCTATTAGCTGTGTTGGTATATTAAATTCTTTCATTGCTTTTGTTAGGAATTCTCGGTTTATATTGTCATATGCGCTTTCGAAGTCTATGAAGAGATGATGTGTGTCGATGTTATATTCACTTGTTTTTTCAAGGATCTGTCGCAGAACAAATATCTGGTCTATTGTTGACTTCTGTCTACAAAAGCCACATTGGTATTTGCCAACTATTTTTTCAGCGTATGGTCTAAGTCTTTCATACATTACGTTGGACATTATTTTGTATGCCGCATTCAACAGCGTGATTCCACGGTAGTTTTCACATTCTAACTGGTTTCCTTTTTTATGTAGTGGTACAATAATGCCGCTATTCCACTCCTTTGATAGCTGTTTATTCAACCATATCTTTCTTATCAGCTCATGTATTTAAGTAATGCGTCTCCTCCTTCTTTCAGTAGCTCCGATGATATTTGATCCGATCCCGGTGATTTATTGTTCTTTAATTTGTCCACTGCTGTTCTAATCTCTGCTATTGTTGGTGGACTCTTTTCTCTGTTGTCTGCTTGGTCTAATAGTATATCAGGGTTCATCTCCGTCCTATTCACCCCAAGCTTTTCCTTAAAATGTTATGTCCATCTTCTAAGTATCTCTTGCTGTTCTGTCAATATATTACCCTCCTTATCTTTACACATCGTTGTTCTCGGTTTGAACTCTTTTCTGCTTTTGTTGAGTTTCTGGTAAAATTTTCTTGTCTCTGTTGGTTTACTTAGTTCTTGTAGTTCTTAAAGTTCTTTGTTGATATATTCCCTCTTCTTTCTTCGGTGAATTTTCTTATCTTCTTTACGTAGTTGTTTATATTCTTCCTCTGCTTTTCGGGTTCTGTGCCTCTGTTGTATCTGTAGATATGCTCTGTTTTTTTTTCTGTTATAGTTTGACATTCTTCGTCAAACTAGTGATTCGTTCTTGTTCTTCTTTCTTTACCTTCCATGATTTGGGGTGTACCTACTGTGAAATGGAGTGGACAAATGAAATAGTAATGAGATTTCTAGATTTATACCAGATGCAGCCTTCATGACATGACACAACAAGTATTGGTAAACTGCATTTAAGTAAAAATAAGTTGCAGCCACCGTCAATACGTCCACGGAGTAGCGTATTTGTTATTCGCTGACGAATAACAAATATTTGAGCGAATACAGCGAAGCCGCATAACAAATAACACATAGAGAAGTGTGGTGCCACAATAATTCCGCAATTTCTGAAAGAAATATGTGCACGCGTACGTACTATTACAATTTCGAGTTGCCTGATCTGGCATTGCCATTGCGACAGTGAAAATACGCTTTTAGAAATAAGATTTTAATGTGTTGTGTCTGTAATTTTACCTTAATTTTTCAGTTAGTGGCTTAGAGGAAACTGCCACTAGGTATTTTTCTAGATGACCAAATTTTAAACAAACTATTTGCTGTTTGTTGAATATTTTTTTTTATAAAAGTAACTGTAACTATAACAAGTCTTTGTTTTTAGGTACTGAAGAAGAATCGTCAGAGAAACATAGTAGCGAAGATGACACAGAAGTTTCTAGCGAAGTTTGGACTATAACAAATGAACAAAGAGAATACTATACAAATCAATTTAGATCCCTCCAACCTGACACCAATGCCTTATTAGCTGGTCCTATAGCTCGAACTTTTTTCGAGAGATCTCGCCTCCCTATACACGAACTTCGGAAAATATGGCAGCTGGCGGACGTTACCAAAGATGGAGCTCTATCGTTGCACGAATTTAACACAGCAATGCATTTAGTTGTGTTAAGACGGAATCATATTGAACTACCTGATGTTCTGCCACCCACTCTCGTACCTGGAAACGAAACTCCTTTGTCTGTGAGTCCAGAAACTGAACCTATATTATCACCTCAAACTAAAGACACTGCTAAAGAATGGACCAAATTTGTCGATAGCCCAACTAGTTCTGTTTCATCACCTGGGCCTAAACCTGTCAATTTTGATTTTCAGAAAGTAACTTTAGACAAAGATTCTAAAATACTTCATCCTGTACCGTTACGTCTAACTCCAGAAGTTGCCAATAACCAAGTCGACGACCAACCTGATGGTATTGATTTGCATAGTCCTAAGAAATTCGCTGATAACGCACTGAATCTAACACAGAACTTGCAGAACTTAAGTGCACAAAATAGCGCTATACAGCGTCCCCAGCCGAAGAAAATCAATATTCCCGGTCCGGGAGCAATACCTCCGCCGCCAACTAATCAAAATAATACCGAGGAAGGACCAGTTAGCCTGCCTGCATTTCCTCCACCTAAAAAAGAAAAGCCGCCACCGCCACCTCCTCGCCCTTTTAAAACCCATGGACGTAGTTCGTCTTTAGATTTAAACAGGCTCACCAAACTCGGTGCTCCGCCCACTGTGCCGCCCCGCATTAGCCCTAATATTCAAGGAGCCAAGAAACTAATTAACCAAAGATCTGAAGGAGATTCTGCATCTCAGACCGAAACGTTCGCCAATTTCGATCAGTTTGAAAAATATGAAAATGTTTCAGAAGGGATTTTCCGCGGTGACGTTTACGAAGCCGAAAGGAAGAAGCTATTCGCCCAGTTTTCACAGCCTAGTACCAGTGACGACCCGCCGAGAAAACACGGAGCTTTTGAGATATACAGAAAACCACAAGCTAGAGGGAAAGACAGCCCCGTGTCACAAGAGGACAAAGCTAAATGGCAACTATTTCAACAGCTACAAGAGGAGAATACTGTGCTCCTGAGGATCTGCCAAGAACTCAGTCAGGAATTGGCTGAACTAAGGGAGGAAAAGTTAACTCTGAAAGTTAGGTTAGAAAAACAGTTAAGCGGAGGTTAATAAGGTTGAAAATGATATAGTGGTTTTTATTATCATGTATATTTTACTTCCTCGTCGGTATCTCGAACATCTATTTTATTACGTTATAGATTCTTCTTGACCCAGCTACTATATATTTAGTTGTCTTAATTAGAGCTAAGTGGATTTATTCTTACAGCATAAAAAATAGTAAAACTAAAGTTCAAGGAAATAAATGTATTTAAATAAAAATTAATTAATTAAAACATCAATAACGTTAAACGAGATTTTTAGCTATATAGTTTTAAAATGAACTGTTGCAATCTTGATGATGTGGCACTCTAATCGCCATGTATTCAATCGATTCTGTATAATTTATTATCTTAAAATATTTCTACTCGTGATTTTATCCAGTTTTACGAGGTTCAGTTACCTCATTTTCTTTTCTCGTTAAGTTCTTTTTATAGTAAACGAATAAAAGGGAAGAATCCCAGTGGTTGGCTGTATACCACAGTTTAAAAAAAACTTATAGTAAAGAGAAAATTTTCTAGTCTAAAATGGTATATATTAAAAAAATAATAAAAAATAAAATTTTCCAAACGGATTACAATTTGATCAGAACGTTTTCGGTCTTATCAGATGATCATCAGTGAACACCTAAAAGTAAGCATTTTCACGTTAATATAGTGAATAAAAAAGGTTAAATGTTGACTGTTAAACTGAAAAACATATAGTAAACACTTAAATAGTTAGGAATTGAAACTGGCCACTTAAAGAGGTCTTTTAATTACATTTTAAATGTCTTAAAAATTAAAATTGAAAAGACATGAGGTCGATGATAAAATATTTAACTTTAAGGAAACATATTGAACCCTGGTCGAACCGAGGACTACATGAGTCTACTCACTAAGTGAGTCTTAGTAAAGATACCTATCAAAGTGAAATTAAATTCTATAGATAGAACAAACTATCAATTTTGTTTTTAGTTAATTAAAAAAGTTCAACGCGCTCTATTATTGTTTTAAATTAAATTAAAGTAAAACTAATTATCTTTATATTATAATGAACTTGAACGTTACTTGTAAAGTATGATTATGGTTGCGAGAAGAAATATATGTAAACAAATTAATGGTTAAAATAATGCCTGGGAATAATGATGTCACGTTGTCAGATAAATAAAATGTTTTTCCTATAGGTAATATTTTTAATTTATCATCTCATAGCCTTAATTTCTCTTTACAACTTTTCAGTCACCGACTACTATTATTTGAAGTATTTTTCAATATATTAATTAAAATCATCTGGTTTTCATCAACATAACAATTATTAATCTATATTCAATTTAAAGTTATTGTTTACAACATTTTCAGTTTAAATGGAATTTAATTTGAATTTATACTCAATCAATTAGTACTACAATTAAAAATCAATTGGTACTTCCTATATTGAAACATTGAAAGACCAGATGGTAAAAGATCGACAGGAAGGCCTAGAAAAAGGTGGAAAGACGCTGTCAGAGAAGACCTGGAGAAGATGGAAGTAAGGCCATGGGAAATAATAGCACAGGATCGGAATCAATGGAAGGCAATAGTAAACGCGGCAAAAACTCACGAAGAGTTGTAAAAGCCAATGATGATGATGATATTGAAACATAATGTACTATATACACTTAATACATCTCAGTTTAATATACATTTAAACAGGTGTACATACAATAACTATATTTAGTCATTTATATGCCCACACCCTCTCTAATCCCGTCTACACAGTCACAGTCTACTATCCCGGACAGTTACAATAGTATTTCATAATTTTGGGACATTACATTTCAACTAATCTTCCATTAGCCGATGAGCCCTTATTATATAACCTTCGTTGCTTACCTTCTGCAGGAAACCCTTGCCTTTGTCAAGATTCTAAAATGTACAAGGTTAGGAATAAAAAGTTATTGTAAAATATATAAAAAACTTACCAAAACGTAAAACGGGACACTGACAATAATGAATTGACAGAAGTAAACATTAATATCTGATATTAATATGTCTACTGACAGAAGTCTACTGTCATTAATATGTAAGTATTTTTGTACCCACGTATCGTTGGTGTTTTCGAAAAAGGTAAAGTAGAGATATTTTATGACTGTGAGAGTCTTTTATGGTGTTATATTTATGATTATTTAAATCAAATTGAAATATATTTTATTTAGGTTCTGTGTATCTTATTTATCATTGATTGCGTTGGTATTTCTTTTTATTTCTATTGATTCGTATCTCCCTTTTCTTTTTGTTTTGCTCGGTTTTTAAAATTTGGATGTTTTCGAAATCAAATTTATGCTTCTTTTCATTTTCATGTTTTGTGAGCGTAGTGATGTTGTTCTTGTCATATTTGTGAGAACGAATTCTGGGTTGAAGCAGTTGACTGGTTTGCCCAATACAGACACTTTCACAATTAATACATAGTATCTTGTAAAAAACATGTGATTTTTTGAGTTTTGGAGTTTGTGTTTTTAGTTTAGTGAAATATTTATTTGAAAGGTTGTTGCCTTTGTGAGCCACTGTTATGGTATGTTTGGCTAGAAGATTCGTTAGTTGTTCGGATAAAGCTTTTATATATGTAAGAGTAGTATACGTAGTCTTGATACTGTTGGGTTTATTGTTATTTGTATTGTTTAAAATTTATTTAGTCTTGGTTTGAAAATAGTTTCGATTAGATGTTGGGGATATGCATTAGTTAGAAAGGAATTTTCTGCTTTTTTTCTTATGGGAGAATAGATGATGAGATTTATAGTTGATGATATCGTGAAGACTTTTCTTTTGTAAACCACATGGTTTTAACTGTGTTATTAATGCGATATAAGGTGATATCCAGAAAATTTAATTTATTTTGTTCATTGAACTATTACTCTTTTTTGTAGTTTAAAAACATCAGATTGGGTAGCTACACTAGAACGCCAAAAAGAAAGACCATATCGGAGATGAGACTCGAACAAAGAAAAATATGTTATTTTGGAGGATGCTAAATTCATTTCCTTCGAAACAGATCTTATTGCATAGCAGGCTGAGGCTAGCTTCTTACTTAACAAATCGATAAGAAGGGACCATTTAAGGTTGCTGTCTATAAAAATAACAAGAAATTTTACAGAATCAACGATACTGGCTGCTATTAAGAAGCAAAGGTTGAAGAGTTCCTTTATAAGAAAATTCTAGTGTCCTATCTGCTCTAAAAGAGAGGAAATTGGAGTCGGATCAGGCTTTTATTAAGTATTTAGGTTTAAGTAGTTCAGAAGTTATAGTTTATTAGTAATTACTGGAGAACCCAATACTGAAAGTTGTGGTACTCCACATACAATGCTTTTGTGACTATAGTCAGTATCATTTGCTCTGACTAGTTGTTTCCTATTTTCCAAGTAAGATTGGAACAAATTCAAAGAAATACTTCGAATTCCATAGAAATTTAGTTTTTTTAATCAAAAGTCGTGATTTATAAAATTAAAAGCTATGACATAGTTACAAAAAACAGTGGCAGTGTAAAGATTATTGTTTAGCTCTTGGTAAACCTCATATAGTATAGAAAACATAGCATCACTGGTATATTTATTAGATAAAAAGCCGAACTGATTTTGTTGTAAAATGTTGTTTTTAAGGAAAAAGGACATAAGTCGGTCTTTTATAAGTCGCTCAATAATTTTGGATAGTACAGTGTTTAGCCAATAGGTCTATAGTTGCAGGCATTACATTTTTCACCATCCTTATGAAAAACAATATTGCTGTCTTTAGGCATTCTGGAAATATATATTTTTCAAAGGAATCATTAATTAATGAGATCAGTACTTCCAACACATTTTTTGGTAGACTTGAGAAAATTTTTATGGATAGTCCATCAGTACTACAGAAAGATTTGCTTTTGATACTACTGATTGTTTGGATAAGTTCAGATTTATCAACTGGTCCTATAAATAATGAATTTGAGATCTTTTTTGGATTGGGGAGATAGGAAATGGAATCTTGTTGTGGCAAAATAGTTGATGTTAAAATTTTTCTCGCATTAACGAAGTATTCATTTAGATTTTCAGGGTTTAGAAGAAAAAATGTGTGAGCTTTGTTAGTTTTATTTCGAAGATCTTTTATTATAGACCAAGTTTCTTTTGCAACACTTTTAGACCTTCCCAGAGGATTTTGATAGTACGTTTTTTAGCTGTTTTGATAAGTTTTAGATAGATTTCTATGTGCTTATTGATACCTATATTCAGTGACAAAGACGTTGGTAGTAAATTTCTTGATCTAGAATAGTGAACGCATGTTCTTGGCTGATAAGAGGACACCTTTGGTAGTCGTAGTTATGTTTACATAACTGCGGATTTCTTCTCATAACCATAACCTTACTCCACAAGAAACTTCAAAGTTCGTTTTAACATAAATACAATCACTTTATTTCCTTTAATTTAATTCAAAACAAGACTATAATCTAAATTTCTTACAAACTATGACCGAGAGTGGGTGTTGAACTTTGTTTATTAACCAAAAATAAACTATCACCTGTCTTGAAGACCTCGTCAATTTAAATGAATTACACTTTGTGATCCACCACTTCAGTTGGCCTGTATCTTTCATAAGACTCATATGTAGTCCTCGCTTCGAGTAGAGTTTAGTATGTTCTCTTAATGTTGAATCTTTTAACATTGATTTCATGTTAATTTATGTTAATTTTGAAGACATTTAAAATGTAATCAAAAAGTCATTAAACCTTTTTAAATGGTCAGTTTCAGTTTCTAACTATGTAAGTATTTACCACATGTTTTTTCAGATTAACAGTCAACATTTAACCCTTGTTTATTCAGTATATTAACGTGGAAATTATTTTATGTGTTCACTGATGATGACAAGACCGAAAATGTTCTGATGAAATTTTAATTCGTTTGGAAAATTTCATTTTTTACTAAATTTTAAATATATACACCATTTTTCACTAGAAGTTTTTCACTTGACTGTAAGTTTGTTCATGTTCATTTTATAGCTTAATCTAACATAAAAGTTCACGCACAA